GGAACAATTCTCTCTCCATATTTAAAGAATTTTTTTTTTTGTATAAAATAAATCATATAAATATAATTCTAAACGTATAAAAATTTCAGAAAAATTATATATTTATAAAATTTTAATTAAAATTTAATTAAAGATCATAATTTTAAGTTTTTTATTTGCTCTGAGAGACCTGGATTGATCAAAATTCTTTGTTGTCTGGGTTGTCTGGAGAGGTCAAGTCTTATTACCTGGTCGTCTCGTTGTGGGCCTGATCGAACCGATAATGGGTTTGCTAAAAGAGGTCTCGTTAGTACACACAAGGCAAAAAAAAAGCTAAAAACAAAAGAAAGATATATATATATAAACAATTACCACAGAATTTTAAACATAGAGATATCAATCAATTTGAATATTAAGAAAGGGGATGAAGAATGATAATAGATTATATTATTAAACAAAACATGATAAATACTTAATAATAAGTATCAGTTTAAAAAATAAATAAAAGACGTAATCGTTTCCAAAAACTTGGGTGAGCATTACATTTTGATGGTCACTTGGTTGATTTGCCAAGTGTCTGTATAAATACAATAAATAATTTGTGTTTTAATTACGAAGATTACTGGCACGGTTTCAAAAATACCAGAATAAATATCAGTGTTTAAGTCTTGTGTAATTGTCATTCGGACTTTATATTAAATTAGACAACTTGTTAAAGTAACATTATACCCAGAGAAAATACAATAATAAAAAAGGAAAAACGTTTCCTTTTTCTATTAGTATGGTTTAAAACTTAGGTAATTAGATTATAATCAATTTAAAATACGATAGAAAGATGATTTCGGAAAAGCAATGCGTACATTCACGTCTGATTTATTTCAGTCTTTTGCTGTGAATGTACAGGACCCTGGTCTCTTCCAAAGTGCTAAGTATTTATTTGCGATATTTTCCTTAAATATCAGGTTTGAATTGATGTGCTTTGTTTTATCACAAATATATCACTCTTTAAGATGGCCAAATCTGTAGATATAAATTAAAATATTTGTTTGTTTGTTCGTCATATAGATATTAACGAATAAAATGTTTTGAAGTTTTACAAGTGAAAAGCAGAAGAAACATAAAATTACATAGCGGATTTTGTTTACTATTGCACTTATAATTTGACAGTTGCATTGTTACTATATTGATTATATTAACAAATACGGAAAAAGATTTTTCTTACAGTCAGTCAGAAAATATTGAAAATACCAAACTGAATTTAAATTTCTGAAATAGTCGAAAGAATTTCTATAAAAATAATAAAACCTGTCTACCTAGTAACCTATTTATAATCTATTAATATGGTTTTTTGTATTAAAATTCGATACAAATAAAAGCTTTTTATATAGAAATTTTTCTTTCCAGGTTCGTCATTANTTGTTGTCTGGGTTGTCTGGAGAGGTCAAGTCTTATTACCTGGTCGTCTCGTTGTGGGCCTGGCCGAACTGATAATGGGCTTGCTAAAAGAGGTCTTGTTAGTACACACAAGGCAGATAAAGCGAAGAACAAAAGAAAGAAATATATATAAACAATTACCACAGGATTTTAAACGTAGAGATATCAATCAATTTGAATAATAAGAAAGGGGATGAAGAATGACAATAGATTATATTATTAAACAAGGCATGATAAATACCTAATAATAAGTATCATTTTAAAAAATAAATAAAAGACGTAATCGTTTTCAAAAACATCACATTTTGATGGTCACTTGATTGATTTGCCAAGTGTCTTTATAATACAATAAATAATTTCTGTTTGAATTACAAGTATTACTGGTACGGTTTCAAAAATACCAGAATAAATATCAGTGTTTATGTCTTGTGTAATTGTCATTCGAACTTTGTATTAAGTTAGACAACTCGTTAAAGTAAGATTATACCCAGAAAAAATACAATAATAAAAAAAGAAAAACGTTTCCTTTTTCAATTATTATGGTTTAAGACCTAAGGTAATTAGATTATAATCAATTTAAAATACGATAGAAAAATGATTTCGGAAAAGCAATGCGTACATTCACGTCTGATTTATTATAGTCTTTTGCTGTGAATCTACAGGATCCTGGTCACTTCCAAAGTGCTAAGTTTTTATTTGCGATATTATCCTTAAATATCAGGTTTGAATTGATGTGCTTTGTTTTATCACAAATATATCACTCTTTAAGATGGCCAAATCTGTAGATATAAATTAAAATATTTGTTTGTTTGTTCGTCATACGTGCCTAGGCCGTTCGACGAATTGTTACGAAACTCGGCAGTCACATTCGATTACTCTTAACTTAAATCATGATTTACATTACCCCCTAAATGACCGAAAGGATTATTATCTATGGATAAATTTTTTTGTACATTTAACTGCTGATTTTACATGTATCGCCATCTATCGAAATATTAAACAAAATAAGTAAAAAAATGTAATTTTTACAGAAAAAAAAATATAATATTAAAATATATATATTATATTCATTGATCTACTGCGACATGGATACAGTGAAAAATTGATGTGCCATTTCGCCTTGTTTGATTGTTTATTAATTTACAGCAATTCAACACTTGGGCGAATTGCCTAGGGTGATACCTTCAGGGAAGTCTTTTAATAGTAACTTTCTGCTATTCAGGCATTATAGACATGGAGAAAACTTGGAAAACTTCTCATGGGCAGCCTGTCCAGGTGAAGCGTTCACCCACGACCTAACTCCCAGCGTTTATGGAATGGAACCACTTGGCCTATAGGTAGCACATAGCACTTGCTAACGTGGGTTTAGTAGTGTTTATCGTTTGTACATCATACTTCTTCTGTTCGAAATACAGTTCTGCTGGTTAGGTATCTAACATTGTTAGCGGGAAAAAATTTTTTATTGAAATAATGTGACTCGCAGTAAAAATCGAAAGTTGATGTACACTTTTTTAAATTATACCCGATAATTTTTTATAGACGCAATATTTACTAGAACACACGTCCCACATAGTTCATACAATATGCTGCAAAATTTAAACACTGTATTATCACCTAAAACAAATTATTCCAGAATATTTCTTCTTGTGTCGATTCCGGCCGTCTTTGAACCATGTACTGTACAAACAACTAATTATGACTTGCTTTTTCCTCTTCCCTTCCCTTTGTTCTTCTTACTTTCTTCCAATACCTTTTCATTCTCTCGCTCTGCTGTTGTCTTTGCTCCTGGGTGAAGTCTGTTATTTTCCTTTTCCTAAAAACCCTTGAAGTTCTTTATTTTGCTTTTAAACCTTTCCCTGTTCTGGATATCTTCTTCAGATATGCCTATTTCTGCCATGTCTTTTTGAATGTCATTGATCTATTGATTTTTATTCTTTTGGTTGTTGAAATACGTAAATTTAGTTTTGTTCGCCTATCGTTTAGCTCTTAAAACCGACATTTAGCATTTCATTTCACTAATTAAAGCTTATTTTAAAACTATAGTTATTTTATATGCAATTAGTTCATTTCAACTTCATATATAAAATCACAATTAGAATGAAGATCCCTTGTAAGCAACTCACAAAAACATGAATAATATCCAAAAATATTTTTCAGAAGTGACAAAGCTTATAGAGAAAGGAAGAAATTATTGTTGCCTGCCTTTCGCCTGAAAGTATTGCATTCATTTATTCCAATAATCGAGAAGAATGCCAAAAAATTAGTTGAGGTGTTGATGGAAAACGAGAAAGTTTTCATAGTACCTGTTATTAAACTGTGCGGATTTAATATTTTGTATGGTATGTATAATGCATTTTATACCTTATCTACCTTATTTACGATGGATTGATTGTTCATATAAATTATTGACAATAAAATTTATAAAAGCTGATAATTTTTTANTATTAATTTACAGCAATTCAACACTTGGGCGAATTGCCTAGGGTGATACCTTCGGGGAAGTCTTTTAATAGTAACTTTCTGCTATTCAGGCATTACAGACGTGGAGAAAACTTGGAAAACTTCTCATGGGCAGTTTGTCCAGGTGAGGCATGCACCCACGACCTAACTCCTAGCGTTTATGGAATGGAACCACTTGGCCTATAGGTAGCACATAGCACTTGCTAACGTGGGTTTAGTAGTGTTTATCGTTTGTACATCATACTTCTTCTGTTCGAAATACAGTTCTGCTGGTTAGGTATCTAACATTGTTAGCGGGAAAAAAAATTTTTATTGAAATAATGTGACTCGCAGTAAAAATCAGAAGTTGATGTACACTTTTTTAAATTGCACCCTAATGATTTTTCTATAGACGCAATATTTACTAGAACATACGTCCCACATAGGCCATACAATATGTTGAAAAAATTTAAACACTGTATTATCACCTAAAACAAATTATTCCAGAATTTTTCTTTTTGTGTCGATTCCGGCCATCTTTGGACCACGTACAAACAACTAATTATGACTCGCTTTTTTCTCTTCCCTTCCCTTTGTTCTTCTTCCTTTCTTTTCAATAACTCTTCATTCTCTCGCTCTGCTGTTGTCTTTGCTCCTGAGTGAAGAGTCTTCCATGTCTTTATTTTCCTTTTCCTGAAAACCCTTGAAGTTCTTTATTTTGTTTTTAAACCTTTCCCTGTTTTGGATATCTTCTTCAGATATGCCTATTTCTGCCATGTCTTTTTGAGTGTCATTGATCCATTGATTCTTATTCTTTTGGTTGTTGAAATACGAAAAATTAGTTTTGTTAGCTTATTGTTCAGCTCTTAAAACCGACATTTGGCATTTCATTTCATTAATTAAAGTTTTTTTTTAAACTATAATTATTTCATATGCAATTAGTTTACTTTAACTTCATATATAAAATCTCAATTTGGATAAAGATCTTGTGTACGCAACTCACAAAAATATGAATAATATCCAAAAATACTTTTCAGAAGTGACAAAGCTTATAGAGAAAGGAAGAAATTATTGTTGCCCGCCTTTCGCCTAACAACATTGCATTCATTTATTCCAATAATCGAGAAGAATGCCAGAAAATTAGTTGAGGTTTTAATGGAAAACGAGAAAGTTTTTATAGTACCTGTTGTTAAAATGTGCGGATTTAATATTTTGTATGGTAAGTAGAATGTATTTTATACCTTATCTACCTTATTTACGATAGATTGATTGTTCATATAAATTATTGACAATAAAATTTATAGAAGTTGATAATTTTTTAATTATTAAAGAAATAAATATAAATTACATTATAAATATTAAAATTGTTGAAAAATATATTAAATTGTTTATGTTGTTAATTAAATGAAATTTATTTCAGATACAATTCTTGGAGTTAAAGATAGTTCTAGGTTTAGAGAAAAAAGTTTTTACTATGAGAAATTAATAAACGCGTAAGTATTTAATTCCAGATGTTATCTGTTCTGTACAACGATATTAAAACCAGAAAAGAATACAAATCTTTGAATAGGTTATTTTTGATCCATAGATTTTTTGCTTTCACTTTTATAAAACACATTTTATTGCATAAAGTAACTTGACTCGAATATCTGATTTTGTATTTCTACTTTTTGATACGTAATTCTAGTAAGCAATTGTATTTTAACTACGTACATGAAGTAATTATTATTTAAAATAAAATTATTTTCACTGAAAATAATAATGCAACCAATTCATTGAATTGATAGTTAGGTTGTATTGATATAGCCTAATAGGAGATTTGTTCTTTTTTCTCTACTAATGGCAGCCCAATTCTACATTTTCATTGTACACGTAGACATGCATAAGAAAAATCTAAATAGTTGACTATTTTTATCTGTCTATTCGAACGATTAATTTTTCAACACAAGGTAAATTTAAATTCGTTTCATGATGCACCACAACACTCAAACTGATTGAGCCAGAAGTATTTCCATTAAACTCGCGTAGAAACCTTATAGACCTAGTTCATTTCTGCTTGTTTATTGCAAGTTTTAAGAAATACAGTAGAGCGTCGTTTATCCGAATCAATTGGGGACTGGGGTTGTTCGGATAACTTATTTTTCGGATAACCGATTATGTACGAAAAAATATATTAATTTATCCCGTGTTGAAATTTTTCTCCATTGCGTGTCGCTTCGCGTTAAATTTTCGTCGATGTTAAGCATAATGAAACTATTGTATCGTTAAAAATTAATTTTTTATTTTGTACAAACAAAATAAATATATCGAAACATATAGAAACAATAAAAAATTATACTTCAGAAGTTAATTTAGTATCAAAAACGTAAAATATTTGAGTAGTCGAAGACATAGCCAAAGATTACAGACCCACAGCACTGGCGAAAATTTAAATTTGTCGATTGAAATTCCTTCGGATAACCGACGTTTCGGATAATCGACCTTCGGATAAACGACGCTCTACTGTAGTTTTACTATTTCTCGTTTGCACTTCATATTTAGCAAGGTTAACCACACATTTAAGGTGTTCGCTATCTTCTATTTCATCCAATCACTTTTCAGGTCTCTGTAGAATGTGCTTATAATTATTCGGTCAGCCTCTCAGGATGCCACTTTCACAAATCTTGTGCTTTTCTAAATAACCAAGAAGATTCAGTCAACTTCAGTGTATTATTAAATATATTGGAGTACAATTATTATCACTCGGTCTGGTTTCTTTGTTTGTTGCAATGCAACGCTTGGACAACCTGTTGGGGGATGCCTTCCTGGAGGTGTTTTTAAAAATATCTGGTCTCTCTTCAAGCATTACAGATGTGGATGAAAACCCGGAAAACTCCACGTGGCCAGCCCGTCGTACCAGGTGTAAACACACTACTGAATTTTGCCAATAATGCCAACTGTTTATCTAACTCCGTTTTGAGGAAAATACGTAAAGAGATTTCTGTAGCATACCAAACATTTTTATACAGTTAATTTAGATATCCTGCCCATATTGTTTTCAAATTTAGTTTCCACTACATTTTTGTAATGTTTGAGAATTACAGTTTAATAAATGTTCATATTATATGTTCGCAATTGTAAAATATTTAAACATTTCATATTACAATTTCACATTTGAAATGCGACATTTCATGATTTATTTATTCTTTAGAACATTTAAGCCAGTACTTGATAGATCAATTAACCTTCTGATGTCGTTCGACTTCTTATTTTATTTGACATTAAAAGGAAGAGAGTTTAAATCAAACAAGAAAACTTTAAGGATACTAACAAAAGAGGTTTGTAAAAAATTCTCGTTCTCCAACAGAAATTACACACGAATATTTTTCTGAACTTCAGTTCTATTTCTAGATAATTGCTGAAAAAATCAAATTACGTGAAGACGAACGAAACAATATCGAAAATAATGAAAATCCATAATCTCTGTTGGACTTCCTGTTGGATGCTAGGGATAAAAATCCAGAATTGACTATTGAGAGTATCTGTGAAGAGATCGAATTTATTCTTGGCGCTGTAAGTGGAATAATTTTTTTTTATTTGACATTTTGAACTTAAGAATACAATCATCTGGTACGATATTTATTCGTAAATTAACGAATATTTTGCCTTGATTTAAATTACGCGTTATTGAACAGAAACTTAGCAGATTTTTTCTTATTTAATTACATTTTGTTAGCGCAATAGTAAAGTTATTAAAATGCCGATTATAAATCAAAAATTGCTGTTAAAGTACTGGCTATTTTTAATATAGTTCAGTTTATTCACAGGATGCAAAATAAATTCATTTTTTACTAATGGATGAGTTGCATTCATCCTAAAGTCTAGAAAATTTAGCAAACTTTATTCATGACGTATTTAAATAGGACATGATCCGAATGATTCAGATGCTCTTCAGTGTACTTTTTTCTATTATTTTTTTACCATGTCGATGTTTACGGTAATTATGATCTACTCATAATAATACATTCCATACTGAATAATCTTTAAACCCGATAGATATTATTTTTGCCATGCTTATACTAGAGTCATTCTGAATATATTAAAAAGACATTTTCCCAAATAATTTTAACCATAATTGGGCACACAAACGTGGATAAAACGACATTGTTGGAATAACTTTAAAATTACTGACGTCAACTGTTACATGAAACTCTCTGTTTGCCGCATTTATTAGCACATGCGCTCAATAATAACGGTGGTTATTTCACAGGATGCGACAATACGATTTGGTGTTTATAAAATGGTGATCCATTGATAATGTCGAGAGATACAATTTGAAGTCAGGAATCTGTCGACATTATAAATAGACCACCATATTATTTGTTTTATAATTTTATAATTATGCCNTCTACATTTTCATTGTACACGTAGACATGCATAAGAAAAATCTAAATAGTATGAATATTTTTATCTGTCTATTCGAACGATTAATTTTTAACGCGAGGTAAATTCAAATTTGTTTAATGATGCACCACAACACTCAAAATGATTGAGCCAGAAGTATTTTTATTAAACTCGCGTGGAAACCTTATAGATCTAGTTCATTTCTGCTTGTTTATTGAAAGTTCTAAAAAATAGTTTTTACTATTTCTCGTTTGCACTTCATATTTAGCAAGGCTTGCCACACATTTAAGGTGTTCTCTGTCTTTTGTTTCATCCAGTCACTTTTCAGGGCTATGTAGAATGTGCTTATAATTATTCGGTCAGCCTCTCAGGATGCCATTTTCACAAATCTTCTGCTTTTGTAGAAAACCAAGAAGATTCGGTCAACTTCAATGTATTATTAAATATATTGGAGTACAGTTATTATCACTCGGTCTGGTTTGTTTGTTTGTTGCAATGCAACGTTGGACAACCTGTTGGGAGATGCGGTCCTGGAGGTGTTTTTAATTAAGGATATCTGGTCTCTTTTCAAGCATTACAGATGTGGATGAAAACCTGGAAAACTCCATGTGGCCAGCCCGTCGTACGAGGTATAAACACACTACTGTACTTTGCCAATAATGCCAATCATTTATCTAACTTCGTTTCGAGGAAAATACGTGAAGAGATTTATGTTGCATACCAAACATTTTTATACAGTTAATTTAGATATCCTGCCCATATTGTTTACAAATTTATTTTCCACATTCATTTTTGTAATGTTTGAGAATTGCAGTTTAATAAATGTTCATATTATATGTTCGCAATTGTAAAATATTTAAACATTTCATATTACAATTTCGCATTTTAAATGAGACATTTCATGAATTATTTATTTTTTAGAACATTTAAGCCAGTACTTGATAGATCAATTAACTTTCTGATGTCGTTCGACTTTTTATTTTATTTAACATTAAAAGGAAGAGAGTTTAAATCAAACAAGAAAACTTTAAGGATATTAACAAAAGAGGTTTGTAAAAAATTCTCGTTCTCCAACAGAAATTACACATGAATATTTTTCTGAACTTCAGTTCTATTTCTAGATAATTGCTGAAAAAATCAAATTACGTGAAGACGAACGAAACAATATCAAAAATAATGAAAATCCAAAATCTCTGTTGGACTTCCTGTTGGATGCTACGGATAAAAATCCAGAATTGACTATTGAGAGTATCTGTGAAGAGATCGAATTTATTCTTGGCGCTGTAAGTGGAATAATTTTTTTTTATTTGACATTTTGAACTTAAGAATACAATCATCTGGTACGATATTTATTCGTAAATTAACGAATATTTTGCCTTGATTTAAATTACGCGTTATTGAACAGAAACTTAGCAGATTTTTTCTTATTTAATTACATTTTGTTAGCGCAATAGTAAAGTTATTAAAATGCCGATTATAAATCAAAAATAACTGTTAAAGTACTGGCTATTTTTAATATAGTTCAGTTTATTCACAGGATGCAAAATAAATTCATTTTTTACTAATGGATGAGTTGCATTCATACTAAAGTCTAGAAATTTAGCAAACTTTATTCATGACATATTTAAATAGGACATGATCCGAATGATTCAGATGCTCTTCAGTAAGATACTTTCTTCTATTATTTTTTACCATGTCGATGTTTACGGTAATTATGATCTACTCATAATAATACATTCCATACTAAATAATCTTTAAACCCGATAGATATTATTTTCACCATGCTTATACTACAGTCATTCTGAATATATTAAAAAGACATTTTCCCAAATAATTTTAACCATAATTGGGCACACAAACGTGGATAAAACGACATTGTTGGAATAACTTTAAAATTACTGACGTCAACTGTCACATGAAACTCTCTGTTTGCCTCATTTATTAGCACATGCGCTCAATAATAAAGGTGGTTATTTCACAGGATGCGACAATACGATTTTGTGTTTATAAAATGGTGATCCATTGATAATGTCGAGAGATACAATTTGAAGTCAGGAATCTGTCGACATTATAAATAGACCACCATATTATTTGTTTTATAATTTTAAAATTATGCCGTATTAACACGAGTTTATAGTACCTTTTGTGTTGAAATTATGCAAAGAATCGTCTCTCTGAAGTTTTTTTATATATCCACAATAAAGACACATACATATAATGCGAACAAGTGAAGATAACATACTTTGTGTAAATATTTCACTATTTTCTTGTTCGAAATTGTTATCTATGTAGTCATTAGCGCTAGCAATGAGCAGTTATTAATCTGTACGCACTAATTTTTATTACACGTAAAAATTTATAAAAAAAATGTATTTATAATGTTTTTCTAATATTAGGCATACGAAACAACTGCACTAACCGTCTGCTGGTCATTATACTTATTAAGTCAACACGAAGACTTTCAAAGAAAAGTTCAGGAAGAGTTGGACGCCATATTTGAAAATGACATCGATCGATTTATTACAAATGAAGATTTACACGAGATGAAGTATTTGGAATGTGTAATAAAGGTGGCAATTTTTAGCGATATTTATGACTAATTTTATATAATATATGGGTAATTATCATAATATTTATAATGCATTTATAATTTTCATATTTTTAGTGGTAAAATAATTTTTATATACTAACAAATATGAGACAATCTCACACGTTATTCATGTTGTTAAAATGATTAATTTTGTGGATTTTATTATATTTTTGGCATTTTCTGACTGTAACAACTTTGATGTGGTTTTAATATTGAATTACACAGCATAAAGTCTCTAAACTAGACAGTCCAAAGAAAAAGCATAAAGAATTTTACTTTCTTGATAAATTTTAGTTTCCAGAGTGGTGTTAACTCCTGAAAATTAACGTTAAATACACTTTTATACTAATAAACAAACAATGTCTGTATAACATTTGTTGAGAAAAGTTAGGTACAGTACATTATTGCGCTTTACCGTACATTTTACTCAAAATCTAAACAGTTTTAATCACGAAATATGATAATTAGGAACAATTAATTTTTAAATTATAGCTTATTTGATAATTGTGCTTGGCAAACACGAATATTCTATTAAAATTTACATTAAAATTTTCTAAAAGCGAGAAAAACGTTTATAAAATTTACATTAAAATTTTCTAAAAGCGAGAAAAACGTTTATAAAATTTACATTAAAATTTTCTAAAAGCGAGAAAAACGTTTATAAAATTATAATCAAAATAGTTGTCAGGCTTAATATAAGACACTATTAGTTAAATATCGGTTGATTTTTCAGTGTCCAATAGTAAAATCAGGACAAATCGTGATTGGAGTGTAATTTCAACCTCAGAATTTAAGTCCTTTTTACACCGACAATCATTCCTTTACTGGGACTTTCAGGTCCTTTGCACTTATATTCTACTTGATAGGTAATTTATAAAAAGAAAGAATTTAAACGTTAATAACGAGTAAACTGTTATATAATTAAGTTCGACGACACTCGATTTAAGACACATAATTCTCTTTTATATTACCATTTGCTCAACATTTAATCAAATAAATTTAATAGTCTTAATTTCTGTTATACGAAAGTTACGATTTCAAATTTTCGCTATTAATCTTCAGCTTATTTTAAGATATTAAACGAAATAAATTTCAACACACACAAACACAAGAATACACATTCACAAAACTGTCGTTTATATATTTGGGTTCGTGTAGATGTGCAAAGCAATCGATGAGCCAAATTTGACACGAAACTGAAACTCTCTAATTGTCAAGAACGTAACAGAGTAAGCAAAAGTTTATTAAACAAGTTGCGAAATGTTTACCTTTATTAGTAATTATAGATGTCTTGTATTTTCGTTACTTTTTTCGGATGTCTTCCAAGACATCTTGCCTATTTTACAAATAATTATAAACTCGTATAACTGTTAAATTATAATTTCGCTTAATTTAACTTTATCAGAGAAATGTGTATTTTAATGTGCTCGAATAATGAAATTTATATTAACTTTTTGTAGGAGACTATGAGGCTTTACCCAACTGTTCCTGTGTTTTCTAGGAAAATCAAAAAATCTATAAGATTGGGTAAGGATAATTATTCTTGAATACATGCGAATTTGTTTTATTTAAATTTTTTCTTATAACAAAACTTTTCAACACACGAACACATGAGTGAAAAATACTATATATGTGTAATGAAATCACAGTGTTTTACTAATAAATATTAGTAATTGAATAAATATAAAAATACGCGAAATATCATACGGGCGTGTAAATCTATTTATTGGGAACAGAAATCGTTTATGCATCTGTATTTCTTCTTGATTCCTGATTAGTTTTGGGGTATTCGAGTAGTGCTTTTATGTATCTGTTTTGTATCTGTTATCAGTGTAATTTGTTTCGAATTGTTGAATTTGTTTAAATTTTATTTTTGCATATTTTTCGAATTTGAAACTTTAAATTTTGAAATTAATAACACGTAGTATCTACAAAAGTAACAATACATAAGAGTATATTCATTACCTTTGTCAAGTCCACGTTACTTTCGTTATGTCTATATATTAAAATGCTACAAAGAAGTCATAAAACTCTACAGTGAGAACATCGAGCAGATGTTCTCACTGTAGAGTTTTATGACTTCTTAGAGTTTTATGAACATTCGGTGCTCGCACTTCTAAAAATATATGTTGACCACAAATTTTTGGTTAACTGACATTTCTTCTATTCTGTGATCAAATATCGTAAATAAGCTGATAATAAAGCATTGGCATTAGTGATTAAAAGTTTCGAAAAATTTAGAACTTAGAAAACAATAGATTGTTCTCAAGATTATAAGAAGTACCTTAAAACGTAGCATTACATGATTTTACTGTAACAAATATTAATATTTCAATTTTTATCTTTTCAGGAGATAAAGAATTTTCGAAAGACTGGATATTCGTTGTTTCAATTTTTAATCTTCATCGCAATCCAAATATCTTCAAAAATCCAAATGTTTTCGATCCTGACAGATTTCTTCCCGAAAACTTATCCAAACGCCCACCTTACGCTTACATCCCATTTTCGGCAGGACCCAGGATGTGTCTGGGTGAGAAACTTTAGCATAATAAAAGATAAATAAAAAGTTTAATAAGATTGTAGTTTAATTAACGCATACGATTATTTCTTACAGGGAATCGCTCGGCCATGATTAAAATTAAACTGATTCTGGCAACTATCTTAAGAAAGATGAAGATAGGATGCGTGGAAAAATCGACCCAACTTAAGTTTCGAATTAGTCTTAATCCTAGTCGATCACTCCAACTCGAATTTAAATCGAGAAAACCGTAGATTTTTTTAAATTTAATACTAATGTAAACGTTATAATCGATTGTTATGCTTTAAATCATTTTAATATTTTGCATATGGTTTCAAATAGGAATGCTTTTGCTTTCTACAAAGAGTTGTGTAATAAATCGCAACACTACTAATAAGTATATTTTCACTTGAACTACGTGCTGATTGTTTTTGTATTCGTGAAAAATTAATAGGTGCAGTAATATTCTCACTTATTGAATGCATAATGTTTTATTATATTTAATATTAATATAACACTGAATAATATAATCATGCATGAGAGATAGCATGCTCGTCTGCTCTAAAAACACAGTATATCACTTGGCTTAATTAATCTTGACAATTTTTTATGTAAAATAATAGCGCAAAAAGTAGAATAAATACGAATTTTAAAACTGAGCTTATTTAATAATTTTACACAAAAGTACTTTTCCAATTAATCATAAATTACATTGTATGTGGCGAAGAGTGCACTATAATAAGTTTTGTATTATTAGTTACTACAAATAGTAAACTGCTTAATTTAAAAGTACTCACGAGTTTTATATAAAATTGTAAATGTACATTAAGAGCAAACTCTTGTTATGTCTGACCATTATCGAGATATGACACACGATCCTGTTTTACTGCTTCATCATGTTTACATTAAACCACAAATTCTTAATAGCATCATTCTACCATCTACAATAGCTACAATGCTAATTTTCTTCTCTTACTTATAAGTCTATCTTGAGATATTAAAAGATATGAATGCCAAAACTCACAGTCATATCGACAGAATTTTTTCCATATTTATTTATTGTTGATATTATTGGGTTCATGGAAATGTGCAAGAAACTCGGAGAGTCAAATTTGACACGATTCCAATACTTTTAATTGTTACGGGCATAACCAAAACAGTAAAAGTATGTTAATAAATTTTTACTCGTTATTATTAATTATGGATTTTTTGTACATTTGTTCCTGTTTTCGCATGTCTTCCAAACATCCAGCCTATCACATGAAAAATGATTGGGTTCCAATTTGAAAAACATTGCAGAGGTAAAAATTCTTCCTGTCGTCAGTAGTATGCATTTGATACATTTGGGGTATAAAAATTAATTATTATTAATTAGTATATAAATTTAATATAAAAATTTTTTTCTGAATTATATCGAAATAAAGACCGATACAGTATATATTATATTTAATTTGTATAAGAATTTAATATAAATTAATAACAGAAAACGGAATTTAATAATACAAAACGATACCACAACTTTTAAAAATTCGACGAGTTTAAATAAAAAACGATATGTTCTTAAAGAAAAATATGATGGCTCTTAGTTTTTAACAAAGATGTGATTGGTTAGTATTTTATATAAGTTACTTTTTTAAAAAGAATTAGTTTTATATTTAAGCTGCAATCATGGGGATGTACGGATTTCTAGTTACTGTTGTCTGTCTCTCTGTGTTAATAGTGAGAAAGCAGTTAGATAGCTAAAATAAGAAACAATAAGTGTGAAGTGTAGTGGCAGGAAGCCCCAATCTAAACATATAAAATTGCTTGTCCTGACTGACTGACTGATTAACTGCACATTGAGTCAGTGACTGACTGACTGACTGACTGAGTCACTGATTCATCATCACCCAGAGCAAAACTCTGAATCTAAAAAGGTGAATTTTGGTACACAATTAGGCTACGTCATGGAAACTCTTACTAAGAAGGGATTTTTCGAAATTTTCCAGTGGGAAGAGAAAGAGAGCATAAGGCTTAACCAGAAAAATGGCTTGTACTGTACTGTTTTAAATGCGAATTATTTTAACTACGTTTAGTCTTCATTAAGTACTTAGGAGTATTAAATTGATAACATTTCAGACATTGTTATAAATATTTTTATCTGTTTCGATTTTTAAAATGTTCTAACTGGTATAAATTCGAATTTGCTATTGCACACTGGTTCGATTGCAGAACGATTGTAAACGTTCCAGAAAATTGATCAAATTAAAAATAGTTTGTTTGATTCTCAACATTCTCAGCGGTAGGTGTTATATAACAATTACTATAATTGTTAAAATGCTGAATATAAATGGGGTTTGCTTGCAAAACCTCCGTGGTGAAGTCGCGGGTACCAGCTACATAACTATATAATAACTTCCGATGTGAACTGGAAGTCATGTTACGTTAATTAAAAATTTCCGTTGAAAAGTTCCAGCACGACTCTATTATTAAAGCAAAACTATGATTTACAATGGCAAGCCTTTACTAATTTCAGGTGAGAAGCGTATATTTTAACTTCAATAAAGTCCAGCATTGTGACATTACAATTAATAATTGCTAGTTAAATCTATATTGCTTATAAATTAAAATTTTGCTTAATGTAACACAAATAAAAAATGTACATATTAATATTTAGTGCATGGATTAGAAATAAATAAATCTATATATATTTTTTCTAGGAGATCATAAGGCTTTATCCACCTGCTCCTGAGATTTCAAAGAAAATCAAAAACTCTGTAAGATTTGGTGAGGAAAACAATTTCTGATTGTATATGCGTTGTTATTATTCACATTCTTTCCAATATGAAAAAACATTTTACAAAAAAACACGTTAAATTACAAAGAAAACACTTATGAACACGGTCACACAGATAAAATACTATTACAGTCTTTCACTAATAACGGCTAGTGATAAACTAAATTAAAAATATGAAGAACATAACATAGGTTCACATCTGTTACATTGCTCGGATTTATGTAAAGTCAGTTTTCTAATAATAACGAATGTTTATGCTTTTGATTCTTATCTACTACCCGCTTTTTATGTGTTTTTGTGTACAATTTGTGTCTCTGTTATTTACCAGTTCTGTCTGTGTTTTATTTGAAAATCTTTATAAGGTTATAATTTTTGTCTTTTTATACTCCACTGATACAAAATTTAAAATGGACTTTTCAAATTGGAATTCCTTTTTGTTCAAACGTTGAACAAAAAGGAATGAATTCATATAGAGCATTGGTCACTAAATTTTCTTTCTCAGCAGGCAAGGAAACTGAGACAATGACGAGCACGGGCTACATAACCATTTTCTTCAATACAGTACAGTGAATACACAAAAAATAAAAATTCTATTATTGTCAAAGCCGAAAATCAGATTTGATCACTTCTGACATTTTTACTTACACTTATTTATTTTTTCACCTAGAAAGTGTCTTTACAAACTATGATATTTCTATACAAATAATTACATTTTACTTTACTTCATTTGTGGTACAGTGCGGTGTTGGGCCACATAAACTGTATTTATGGCTGTAGTGAGTATTTACATTTTGTCTGAACTTCACATCTGTAATAATGTATATCTTAATGATTCATTTCCAACAAATCAACTTTCTTCCCTTTTTGATCGAATGTTTAGGAGGAAATGTTAAGGCATTGGCATTCGTAATTAATAGTTTCACAATATCTGTATCGTAGAAAACAATAGATTAATTTTAGGATCGAGAGTAGAAGCGTGATATTTAACGTCATTAGTTTATACCGTATCGACAATAAAATTTTGATTGTTATTTTTTAAGGAAATAAAGAATTTTTTAAGGACTGGATATACGTTTTTTTCTATTTTACATCATTATCGCAATCCAAATGTTTTCAAAAATCCAAATGTTTTTGATCCTGAGAGATTTCTTTACGAGAATTCTTTGAAATTCCCACCTTACTCTTATATTCCGTTTTCAGCAGGTCCCAGGATGTGTCTGGGTGAGAAACGTCAGCACAATATAAGAAAAACAGTAAAATGTACATGTCCGTAGTGTCATTAACAGATACGATTATTTCTTACAGAGTATCGTTGGACCATGAAAGAAATTAAACTGATTTTGGAAACCATCTTAAGAAAATCGAACGGACAATACGTAGAAAAAAGACTCCACGTATTTTCAGACTTATTCTTATTCCTAACCGTTCGCTCGAACTTAAAATTAAACCAAGAAAAAAATAAATATTTCTTACGTTCAATGTTTCCGCATACGTTCTCATAAATTGTTACGGTTTAAAATATTTTAATATGTGTCATTTTGTTCCTAATTGCAGTTCTTTTGCTTTCTTTATACCATGTTGTAATAAATCGAAATGAAATGAATAAATAAAATTAAATTTAAACCACGGATTTTCTCGTATTTCTCAGAAAGGAAACTTAGATGATGAATTTTCAATCATTTTATTTAGAATTATTTTTTTAATTATTCTATTTTCGTACACACAATTTTAAAATTAAGCTGAAACATATTTTCATTGTATTTATCAAATTACTCTACTGAGAAAACAAAATCACTGTATTTTTTATTTATTTTGTTCGAAATTTGTTCAAATCCATAACACACTTTATTAAAACCAGAAAAGTGTAAATTTTTATAATATTTATTAATTCAATTTAGGAACTACATTTAAGAAATTATGTAAAAATCTATCAATAGATATTGCTGAATATATTTCTTGTAATCATGTAGACGTAATGGCCGGTGAAAGTAACAAATTTAGTAAAATATATTTTCAGAAATATTTATACAGTAGAGGCTGGTTAATCCGACCCCCGATTAACCGACACCTCGGTTAACCGACCGTCCTAGTCGGCAAATTTCAAATGTTTGCTAGTGATGTGGCGCTACAATATTTGGCTATGTCTTGGCTACTTTAATATTATTTTTACGTGTTTTAGCTGGCAACACTCATTCGACCATGAAAGGGAGCCAGTATTTAAACGAGGCTTAATTTTCTAATTTTTAACGATACAATAGCGACGATTATTATTTTAAAAAA